ACAAGTTTGGTCCAATGGAAAAATATACAGAACTCTGGTCTAGTAAACAGAAACTACACATTCTTCTTAAGCACATATGAAACATTTGCAAAGATGGCTCACGTAAAGCAGAAATCAACACATTTCTAAAAATCAGCATTATTCAGATTACATTCTCTAACCATCGTTCAACCAAGCTAGAGGTCAGCAATAAAAGAATAAATAAGAAATCTCTCATATGCTTGAAAATTTAAAAATTCTAAGTCCCTACTACTCAAACTGTGGTCTGTGGACCATTGTTGGTCCACAAACTCTGACCATGACCATGACAATAGGAGGTACATAGGAAAGGCAGGTATAAATTTAGAAACTTCTATAGTACTTGACATTGTTTTGACACCCAAGCAGCATTTAATTTTTCTAGCAATTCTTTTTTTTTTGTATTTTATAAAAGTATCAGTCAACAATAGATTAGAAATGTTTAAAAAACAAAAGAAATTAACAACAAATAAAAATAACCAAATTGGTTCTTTACCACAGAGAGTTTGGGATGCACCCTTTAGTAGCTCCTGGCTCAAGCAAGAGATCAAAATGGGAATCAAAAAATACTTAGAAGCAGGGCACCTGGGTGGCTCAGTCAGTTAAGCATCCGACTTGTGATTTTGACTCAGGTCATGATCTCATGGATTGTCAGATGGAGCTGCCCCCTACCCTCCTCATCAGGCTCCTTACTCCGCAGAGAGTCTGGTTGGGATTCTCTCTCTCCCCCTCCCGATGCCCTTCCCCCAATTCATGCATGCACGCACTCGCTTTCTCTCTCAAATAAATAAATAAATCTTAAGAAAAAAAATACTTAGAACCAAATGAGAATAAAAAATACATGTTCTTATAGATCTATCTGCTTAGATTATAATTTTTTACTTTTTCCCTGTCTCATCACCAGCCTTTGAGTCCTCCACATTGGGGACCATGCAAGCATCTGTTTTTCCCTCCTTCTTGCCACAGTGCCTGGTTGAGTAGATACTCAATATTTATTTAGATATTGAGTGCCTAAGTTTACACATTTAAGCTTAAATATTAAATACATTTAAATATTTACTTAAATTTTACTCAACTAAAATAGCAGCCCTGGAATCCTGTCTCTATTTATTCCATTCCTACCTTCTTGTCCTCACCCAAGTATCATGAGATTCACCAGAAATCTGTGCCTTACTTGGCTTATTTTCACTGTATCCCAGCAAGCAGTGGCTTATGTAGTCCTGTATCTACTCATGCATTTAACAACGAAAAGAAAAAGATAAGAGGGGAGTGGAGACAGTCTTTTTATCATCCATACTTGGGAAGGTGAGCTGGTAGTGCCATCCTTGACATGAAGGAGCTACTTAAACACAAATTGGATTAGCAGGACAGGATTAGAGCCTGCTGGAAGGTATTATTCACTTATAAACTGCTCTGTGGAAACTGCTATTGTTTTCATTACAAGCCCATACTCCACAGTGTCAATCAAATGAAATATTGAATTAGTCTACTAATAAAAAAGAAATAAAATGAGATACAAAATGAAGCAACTTAAGTTTTAATAGTACCAAGGAAGTTGATCAGACAGTAATAGTTCAGTTTAGCAAAACTATAATTAGAACATCTGAAATGAAAAAAAGAGAACATCTGAAATGAGTTTTAATATGGATTTCTTCTTAAGAAATAAACTCCTTAAAAATGGTCTCTACTCCATTTTGTTCATCAAGAAGACTAATAATTCAACAAGAAATATGATGAAAAGGTGACTTCAACAAATTAAAAAAGAATATATGTGCAATATGTGAGAAGTTTCAGATGTATCTGGACATTTCAAATGAATTGAAGTTCCTAGGTCTAAATAGATTACAATCCCAGGACACTAAAAGAATCTGCAGAGGTGAACACAGAGCTCCCATCAGTAATCTTTGAGAAACCATGGAGTACACAAAGGTGACAAAAGATAAAGAGAAGCCAAGGTACAAACTTGCCAAGAAAGGGGGAAATGTTTAATTATGGGATTATGTAGACAGGTGAACTTGACTGAGGCTGATTCCTGGCAAAAATTCTAGGAGATTCAAATCTTGGTTCTATATTTAATGGCACAGTGACCTTGGACACATCTCAAAACTGCTGAGTGTTAAATGAGATAATATATAAAAAGCATTTAATACAGCACCTCCTACATAGAAAACTCTTGGTAAATGGTAGCTGTTACTATTTTCCTTTTTTTAAAAATTTTATTTATTTATTTATTTATTTTTTTAAAGATTTTATTTATTTACTTGACAGAGAGAGGCACAGCGAGAGAGGGAACACAAGCAGGGGGAGTGGGAGAGGGAGAAGCAGGCTTCCCGCAGAGCAGGGAGTCCGATGCGGGGCTCGATCCCAGGACCCTAGGATCATGACCTGAGCCGAAGGCAGATGCTTAACGATGAGCCACCCAGGCGCCCCCTGTTACTATTTTTCTATCTCCAGCACTTCAAAATGAAGATGTTAATAACTAGGTACTGATATGGGTTCTACAAGATCAAGTCTCATCTGCTTAACCTCGTTTTTCTAGCCAGGTCTAAGTGCAGGGGGAGAAGGTATTTCTAGGCACGTAAATTGGGATGGTATCTTTATTTTGAAATGGAATTAGATAAAAATCTGTTGTAATATCCTTATGAAAAGATTGGATTTTAGGAGCATCAGGTGACTCAATAACTATACTCACAGTATTGATTCACGAAATTGACTTCTCCATGCCTCAGCTTCTATCTGTAGAAACAGTGTAATAGTAGTACCTCACTGGGTTGTTATGCAAATTAAAGCCCTTAGAACAGTGCCTGGCATTTAGTCAGCACTATACAAATATAACATGAACAGAAGCTTCTAGTTGCATGCTTGTGCAGTACTTGGCTCCAACCTCTTCAACATTTCCATCAGAAACTTGTTAAATTTTCATATGATATGCTGGCCAAATTCTCAAATGCTATAAATGATGAATGATGAAATCAAAATCCAAAAAGACCTTGATAGGTAAGGGCTATGAAATAAAATATATGAGATAAAATTAAGTCCTGGATAGAGACTTTAAGAAAAATTTTTTTTACAGGCTCAGCAATTAATGGGAAGTTTAACTACATTAAGAGAACTGGAGTGTCCTGATGAAGACACTGTCTGGATATAAATGCAAAGATGGCAGGCACAGCTGGCCCATCATGAATTCTTCCTTCCCCTTCTCTTCCTTAGCTTCCTCATAAGTAGAGGCTCTGGGTAGAAGGATAAGCTTGAGAACACAGGTGAGCAGTAAGGAAATGTGAGGCGAGAATGGACCATATTTCCAACTTATCTAGGTGGCAGGAAACATCATCTGGTGGATATGGGAAGATAGCCTCAAGATTTGTGAAGAAATATAGTTAGAAGTTTATCAGGGTACCTAATGGCTCACTGTGCTACATGCTAAAATAAATTCCCCTCTAATCATGATTACTATAGGATTTATCTAATCTATTTCCTATAGGAAATCAAGCTACTCCCAGGCATTTTATCAAACTTTTTCCTCATAATAATCCCTGTCCCTGACAAAAGAAGATTTTGTCATCCCACAGTAGAGATAAGAAATTGAGGCAAAGAAGTAAAGTGAATTGCCCTGGGTTACAAAGAACTGAAATTACAATTTAGAATCTAATCTTAGAGTGCACTACATGAGTTTTGGAAGGGAGCATACTGGAAGCACATTATATCCTTCAAGAAAAGGCCTATTTACCTGAATCTCTGGGAAAAAGAAGATTAATTGTATTTTCCTTGGGGCATGCCAAAGATGTCGAGGAGATGCTTTAGATTCCACATGCTTATTCTAATCCTTTTCCAAATACTTGGAAAGTCTTGATTTGACCATTAGGAAGATGCTGGAAGTTAACTCTTTCTTTTTTAATTAAGGCAAATATTTGTTTGCTAGACTCTTCACGGAAAGCAATTAATCAAGAAAGTTGTACGGCCATGCTATTTCAGATCACTTAAGAGAAGAAAGTGTCCAGATAGGCATAAATCCACATGGTCAGCTCCCTCTGTCCCCCAGCCCTACAATCTATTCCCAGACAACCTCACTGTCTAGGTACTAGATAGAGAAAGATCAAGTAAAAACATGTTTTTAACTTACAAAATTCCATGTAAACATAAATTATTGTTATAATGATTTATACCTAATTACTGAACAAATACATCTTCAATATAAAAACCTGGAAAATGAAGTTAACCAAACCAAATGAAACAAAAAGCACCCATTATGCCACCACCCAGTAAGAACCTCTTGTACCTGTTTGCAATGGGATATTTGTTAAGGCTCAGTTCTCTGGTCAGGCCATAAGGAAATCAGCCAAAAGCTGCAACCCTAAAGTTCTGCAGCTAGTTTCCCTGAAACTAAGTAGTAAAAATGGTGACTTATTTGTAGAAGTCTATCTTTTATTTTCTTGGCACTTGTTCCAGAAGAGATAAGGCCATTTCTCTATCTTAAAAAGAAAGAAATTCCTGGGGCGCCTGGGTGGCTCAGTCAGTTGAGCGTCTGACTCTTGGTTTCAGCTCAGGTCTTGATCTCAGGGTCATGAGTTGAAGCCCTGCATTGGGCTCCAGCATGGAGCCTACTTAAAAAAAGAAATAAATTCCTAGTTGCATCTTACTGGTCTAAAAAATTTACACCACAATTCTCGGATTAACTCATTTACCCAAACTGGTAAATTGCATAGCCAAAACAGATTGTCTATCTCTTTATTAATAGATACACGTAGTCACATATATACTGAAGGTCATGATTTTAAGTATCTTTTTGTTGGGTTCTTCCTTTCTCTTGGAGAGAAGAGACACACACATTCAGAACCCGTAGGAAGGCTGGGTCAAGAATATATCAATAATCAGTAAAAGATGACTATGGTGGAGTCTTTTCAACTAGTGAGCAATGTTACCAAGACAGCACCAAATATCAATCCATTTCTTTTTCCCATCCTAAGGAAAAATCATGCTATTACCTTTTTGTTCATAGCCACACCATCCTCGCAGTCGAGCACTGCACAATCTACATTCAGGGAGGGAATCTTCTTTATTTTCTTTTCATCATTTCCAGGTACATAGAGCACTGCCCTCCGGGGAATGTACCTGTGATTGGATGAGGAACTATATCCAAGCCTGGGCACATCAGCTGCCAGAAATGGTTTCCTGCAGGAGACATAATTGGGGTTAGTCTAGAAGAGAATCTATTTATAAATTTTTGAAAAACCTTATTTTAATGCAAAATTAAAATAGAAAACATGATAATCTATTTTAATTTCAGCAGATCACAATCACATATAACTACTAGAAAAACAACAATAACAGAAATAACCAAGAAACAAAATGTCATTTTGGCTGAAGTTTAAAAAAATAGATAGCACTATTTATTGAGACGACCTTCAGACAAAAGAAGGAGTGTGTACCTATTTCATCTTGGAAAAAGACTTCCAGTATTAATATATTATCCAGATAGTATCTATGGACAAAAAGAAAAGAAATTTATATCCAGAGAGTCCTAAATAACTATCTACAATTATATGAAAATAGAAGCAGAAAATAAACAACTTATGTAAGCATTAGTCTATGGCCCTCTCCCTGCCAATGAGTCTCAAGTAGGCAAATAAGTGATTCAAATTCAATTTTATCAACAGACAAGGATGGTTGGCTACCTTGTTAAGTGAGCAGAAAGAATACGAATGGGAAAAGATCACTACTAGCTCTGGAATCGTGGGCAACTTCATTACTGAAAACTTCAGATCCCTCATCGATAAAAATAATACTAATTTTGCAGGTTGTTGAGAGGATTCAGTGAAAGAAAAGAAGGCACATGAAGTGCTCAGTGAGAGCCTGGCAGATGCGGTGGTTGGTGTACCAGGAGTACAGACTGCTGTTATTAGTGGAGAAACTAGCTGTCAATAGCCCCTGCCTTTTTCTGACCCCTGCTCTCTATTTCCATTCCCTCCTGGACTCAGTTTAGCCTCCTGTGGAAGTAAGAGGAGTTGGTCAGAAGCTTGTTTGGCTCATTACAGCCCTCGCTCCTAACCTGGTCCATAATTTGGTGCTGGGAAAACTATGGTTTAGCCCATAATACATGGTAAAGGAGGGTGAGATCAGGACCAGCTACATAATTTGTGGGCCCAGAGTAAAATGAACATATAGGCCCTTGTTCAAAATTTATTAGGAATTTAAAAATGGTGACAGAAGAACATCAAACCAAGCACCAGACCCTTCTAAGCACAGAGCCATGTGTGACTGTCCAGGTCACATATCTATGAAGCCAGCCCTCCCATAACAGACAAACTATATGTCATGAAGAGCCCAGTTAAGGAAAGGTTAAAGCCGTGGCAAGTCAGAAACACCCTAATGTTTTATTCTGCCCTGAGTAAACAACATCATCCTTTACAAAAATATATCAGCTGCATTTTTCATGAAAGCCCTTTTTGGAAGTTATCCTACGTTAATACCATCAACTATTTTGCACAGTTGTAACATTTTGCCATGAACAGTATGCCTTGTGACAATGAATCTCAAGAAAAATGATTCACTCTTTGGTGGCCTACCAATTTTGTGTGTGGCCCCTCATTCCTTCTTGTAGCCAACCTTAATACACTATAAAACTTGAGTCTGAGTCTTATTTTTCCACAGTATAAGCATTGTGCTATATGAGGTATGGTGAGCTACAGATAGATTTTAAAAGTGTACATGTCTTGGGGCACCTGGGTGGCTCAGCTGGTTGGGCATCTAACTCTTGGTTTTGGCTCAGGCCATGATCTCAGGGTTGTGAGACTGATCCCCAAGTTGCGCTCCACGCTCAGTGGGAAGTCTGCTTGGGATTTTCCCTCTCCCAATCCCTCTGCCCCTCCTGCATGCCCTCTCTCTCTCTCTCTGAAATAAGTAAAATCTTAAAAAAAAGTATACATGTTATATGTAACAGACATTTTAATATAAAATATATTATGAAAAAATATATATTATGACCAGCTAATTGAAGAATAACTGAAATATCTGCCATTGTTTTGCATTGACTGAAAATATCTGGTTGATCTTTAAAAAGGAAGAAAATACAATGATTAACAGCAACAATCACATTTTACTTATTCACACTGGAAACCAAAATTTGCAACATATTCATTTCCTTAAAATTGGTAAAAATGCAATTAAAAGAGATGAAATCTTATTTACTAGGAAATGCTTGGGGTAATTACTTTTCATCAGAATTTGTTGTAACTGCACATGTAAAACCCAAAGAGAGGATTGAGAACAGCTCTAGTGGAAAGACCTTACTATACCTCTCACTTCACCTGACAGAGTAAATGTCTGGACATCTCTGTTCACTGGCATCTGACCTTCACTTCATGAAAACTGAGATTTCCTCCATGTGAAATAGCTTCTGACCACCATTTTGGATCCAGCCACTGTGGTCTCCAAGCTACACTATTTGAATCTCAAGCCTGAGCTCCCAGACATCGCTCATGTTGTAAATTATACCACCATGATATGCTAAGCACTAGAGCAAATCATTCCTAGCACATTTATATGAAGTATAATTTTAAGACAGATGATCACTTTAAAAAAATCTGCCAGGGCGCCTGGGTGGCTCAGTTGGTTAAGCGACTGCCTTCAGCTCAGGTCATGATCCCAGGGTCCTGGGATCGAGTCCCGCATCGGGCTCCCTGCTCGGCAGGAAGCCTGCTTCTCCCTCTCCCACTCCCCCTGCTTGTGTTCCCTCTCTTGCTGTGTCTCTCTCTGTCAAATAAATAAATAAAATCTTTAAAAAAAAAAAAATCTGCCACTGTTAAAAAAATAAAAAAATAAAAAAATCTGCCACTGTTAATAATGTTTCTGGTTTCCCAGTCTTCTACAATCATTAAAACATTACTTTGCTCATATCTTCCCCCGCTCAAAATCTGTCAACAGCTCACTACCTATAGGATTAAGTTCACTCTCAGCTGATATTCATTTTCTCAATCTATATCCCATTATTCCCACTCAGTAAGTATCTACCTTAGGAAACTTAGATTTTGACCATCTCTACTACATGCCACAGTCATTGTTTCCAGAGTACCTTTGCTTCTGCTGTGCTTCTGATGGAAAAGTCTTCCCTCTCAGTTTACTTGAACATTATGGATCCTTCAAGTTCAGTTCAAGTTCCACCTGAATCTTGAGACTTTCTTGACTATTCTTTAAATTTGCTCTTTAAACTCTTATAGCATTTATTACTCACAACCAAACCAGAACCAGCCAAGAACTGCTATCAAGGATAAAGTTCTGCTATCAAGGCTAAAGTTAATCAAGGTGGCAGAAGCGTTCTGGAAAGGCAACTGATCCTTTCCAGACACAAAGCAAAAGACTTAAAATGTTTCCTACTCTTTGACCCAGTAATTTCAAGTTATTTGACAAAATTCCTTTTAGGAATTGTTATAGACTGAAAGTTTGTGTCTTCCTAAAATTTATATGTTGAAACATAATCCCCAGTGTATCTGGAGGTGGGCCCTTTGCGAGGTTATTAAGTCTTGAGGAGTGTGCCCTTAGAAAAAAGGCCTCAGAGAGCTCCCTGCCCCTTTATGCCATGTGAGGACATGGTGAAAAGACTGACATCTACAACCAGAAAGTGAGTCCTCATCAGACGCCAAATCTGTCGGAGCCTTGATCTTGGACTTCCCAGCCTCCAGAACTGTGAGAAATAAATTTCTGTTGTTTACAGGTCACCCAGTTTATGGTATTCTGCTATAGCAGCTGAAACAAACTAATAGACAGGAATCTATCTTAAGAAAATAATTGGAAATAAGACTAGATATGTATAATATTAAGAAACTGAAAACAACTTTCAGGGGTCCAATGGTAGGATGAATTATAGCATATTCAAGGAATATGATGATATTGTTAAGAATTATGTTTATAAATATATTTAATGTTAAGATAATTACTGTTATTTTTAAACAGAGGATAAAACATTATATATGCAATACACCTCAACTTTGTAAAAAATACAAGGGAAAATATATGAAAGGAAATACACCAAAATGTTATTAAGGATGCCCCTGAACTGTAGAATTTGGGATTAAGATTTTTCTGCTTCTGCACACTTTTTCCTATTTTGCATATTTACTAGAAAAAGCATCACTCTTTTTTTAAAAAAATCCTTTTTTTTAAAGTTTTATTTATTTAAGTAATCTTTACACCCAATGTGGGGCTCAGACTCACAACCCTGAGATCAAGAGTCACATGCTCTTCTGGCTGAGCCAGCCAGGAGCTCCTTAAAAAGAGTTTCTTTTATAACTGGCTTAAAACAAGTCAATAAAACCATTCAAAAGGTCTCAAATGGCAGCATAACATAGTAGAAAGTATTAAGATGGACTATATGCAATTTGGGATATCTGACCATTTTTGACCTACGAAAATAATTTTATATGGTTCAACCCAATACCATGATTGGCATTCAGAAGATGGGATGAGAAGCAAGCTGCCATGTCATTCTAAGTGTTAATTTCCTCTTCGGTGAGAAGCAACATATAGCCACCTCATACAGGGGAGAGTTACCAAAAGCAGTAAAGCACATGCACTTAGTTACTATGATTATCTGAAACTTGTCTCCCATCTGTGATGCTAATCAGCACAGCCTTACATCAGGAATTTTGTCTCCAGCACCCTCAACTAGATCTTGAGCCCTCTGAGGGAGGGGAAGGCCTATGTCTCCATACTGCTCAGCACAGGGCCTCATACATAAGAGATACAGAATTCCTGTTACCTTATCACCTAAAAAAGCCAGCAATGCAGAGGTGGGTAAAAAGGACGGATCTGCAACCACATTGTCCTTATTCTTCTTGTGAAGAGTCAAGTTTAGTGGTGATTATAGGCAGGAGGTCATTTTTATTCCCTCTCTCCTTTGCCATCCTGGAAACTTTAATCTGACCCACAGTCTGTTGCTTCTTCTTCATGTTTATCCCCTCCTTTCCGTAAACACAGTGATTACCTCCTCGTTTATTTAGGGCCTCATTAACCTAGACCTAGATGACTATGGAAGCCTCTTATTGATCCTGCCTTCCACTATGTTCTTTCATTCATTCGTTTGTTCATTCGTTCACTCATTCAGCAAGCACTAAGTAAGCACCTACTAAGAGACCTACACTGGGTCTCCACTAGCACATGTCAGGTCCTTTTGTGCA